CTTTACAGTGGAGTAGAAACAGAAGCAGAATTAGTCACGTGGTGCCCACCCTGCCCCCATGCTCTGCCCTCTTCCATCTGGGAGGATGTCCACATGGATTGTCTGCCCTGGGCTTCCTTGTTATTTGGTTTCCAGGTGAGTTTGGCCCATGGGAGGCTCTGGCAGAGACAGGAGCAGAGAGGAGGATGAGGCGGGGGCATTTCTTCTACACTTTCTTCTTCTTTTTTTTTTTTTGGAGAGGTTTTTGCTATAGGGTGTGTGCACTCGCCAGAAAGACAGAGAGAGACAGAGAGATAGAAAGCGAGAAATCACCCCCTGGGGGGATGGCCACACCACAATGCCTTCTCTATTCTTCTCTGGGGATCTTGGGCACGTGCCTGGCGTGAGTTTAAGCCACTGGATCTGGGACTCGAACCGCAGTCGACTACATGGGAGTCCAGAGACATAGCCATTATGCTAACTGCTGGCCCCAGCACTGTATTTTTTATTTTTTGGAGCGGTTTTTGCTATAGGGCGCATGCGCTCGCCAGACAGGCAGAGAGAGACAGAGAGACAGAAAACGAGAAATCACCCCCAAAGGGGATGGCCACACTGCAATCCCTTCTCCTTCATTCTCTTGGGATTTTGCGCATACGTGCACACGCGCCTGGCGTGAATTTTAAGCCACCGGGTCCGGGATGTGAACAACGGTCGACTACATGGGATTCCAGCGACATAGTCATTACACTAACTGCTGGTCCCTCTTCTACACTTTCTTTATCCTGCACTGCAGTGGCTGCATTTATCCAGCTGGGGTGCCCTTCAGAGCTATAGCTCTCATTGGGCTCCAGTAACAGAACCTCCTCATCTTCCCCCTTGGACATGTGGGTGGTAATAGCATCCTGAGGTTCCTATGCTCTGGGTGCTTCACTAGCTCTCCCTACACAGCCCCTCCATTAAACTGTCTTCACTGAGCCCTTTCTGAGTGTGCCTTCTGTTTCCCGCCAGGACCTGGACTACTACATACCGTGATTAACGACTCATATGAAACGATCATGATAGAGCATCTGCAGAGATGCCTGGGGGAGAGAATGCAATGGCCACTGCCAAGGCCAGGGAACAGAAAGCAGGTGGTACAGACCACTTGCCTATAACGTTTCCCTTGGACCTGACTGGATCTGGAGCTGCCTGTGGCGGGAGGAACAAATGGACACGGGCCCAGTAGGTGGCGTGGATTTATGGTGCTGGGTTTATGGCTGACTATGGTTTGAGCCCCAAACCTGGCAGCTTGAGAAACACACAGGGTACATGTGTGTGCATACCTAAAATCCCAAGGAGACCGGAGACGGGATTGAGGTGTGGCTATCCTTGGAGGTTGATTTCTTACTTTCTGTCTCTGTCTACCTACTCTATGACAAAAATCTAAAAAAAAAAAAAAAAAAAAAAAAAAAGTCCTTTTTTAAAAAAATAATTTAAAAAAATTTAACTTTATTTATTTATTTGACTAGAGAGAGAAAGAAAGTGTGAAAGCAAGTCGCCAGGTCTGAAACTTGTACCATGGTTAGCCATGTGGGAGTCCAGAGCTCTTAACCACCATGCCACATTCCGTACCTCTCCCTGCCCCCGCAAAAAAAATAGTCCTTTCTAACTCAGACATTCTGGAGTTCTGGTCTGCTGTTACTAGTCATGTGGATTAAATCCTAGCACTAGGGAGACATTCCTTTGAGCTGTAGTTTTTTGTTGTTGTTGTTGTTTTTGTTTTTGCTATAGACCATATGTGCTCGCTGAGGTGAGAGGAAGAGAGAGAGAGAGAGAGAGAGAGAGAGAGAAAGTGAGAAATCACCCCCCAGGAGAGATGGCCAAGCGGCAATCTCTTCTTCTCCCTTCTCTCCTCAGGAGTTTGGGCATGTATGCACATGTGCCTTGCATGTTTTTCAAGCCACCCACAGGTCCAAGACTCAAACCACTCAGTTGGCCACGTGGGATCAAGCTGCTTTAGCCACTATGCCACCTGGCTGACCCTCAATAAATCTTTTTACTTTCCGTTTTTAAATAATTTTGAATTTTGAGAGACACAGACAGAGGGAAAGACAAGCACCCTCAACAAGGTCTCATGCCTCAATCTTCCTGAACCTCTTCAGACAGGCTGACAGGAGAAATGAACCTTCAATCTTCCATAGAGACCTAGCATCACTTAAACAGCATGCTACCACTGTGCCAATGAGCTGGCCTTCACTGAGTCTTTAGTAAAGTAACAAGCATGCAAGGAGTTAAAATGTGTTTTAACACTTCTCAACCTTTTCTACCAGAGTGGAGAGGGAAATTGCACCAAGTCTGGGGAGGAGCCTGAAGTGTTTTTTTTTTTTTTTTTTTTTTTTTTTGAGAGATTTTCACTGTAGGGCGCGTGCGCTCGCCAGACAGACAGAGAGAGACATAGAGACAGAAAGCGAGAAATCACTCCCCAGGGGGGATGGTCACGCCGCAATCCCTTCTCCTCCATTCTCCTCCCGGGATCTTGGGCACGCACGCACACGCGCCCGGCGTGAGTTTTAAGCCACCGGGTCCGGGACGCGAACCGCGGTCGACTACGTGGGAGTCCAGCGACATAGCCATTACGCTAACTGCTGGTTCCTGAAGTGTTTGTCTTAAGGAAGAAATATCTTTGGAATCTGTCATGTTCTATTTGAAAGCTTGTATGGACTTTACATCATTTTCTATAATGTGTTTTTCATCTGTCTTCATTAAAAAAGGGGAGATAGGGCCCTAAGGAGTTGAGTAAAGATGACTGTCAAGGAAGATCATCACACTTGTCTTGTGGCTCTAAACTGTCCTGGATGTAGCTGTGAGACTTGCCACCTTGAGAAGCCCAGCCTTGGGTCCGCCTGAGCCTGCCTACCTGCTGGCTAGAGCACAAGGGTACCACCTGCCTGGCTGCTATGCTAACATTTCCTGCTCCCCAGGCTCACCTCCAGACTCCCTGGAGTTGGGTCTAACCATGGTGCAGACTGCAGGGGCTGGGAGTGGGGAGGTTCCAACAGAGCTGACCGGAGCAGGCCCTTCTTTTCTGAGATCAGGCCTGGGCTTGGGTGGGGGAAGGTGGCTCTGGAGTGAGGAGGAAGTCAGTGCTGTGTGCTGAGTCCTTCCTGCCCTCCGGGGCATTGAGGAAACAATGCTTGGGTTTCTGGGCCCTGGCCCTTGGGCAATGCTCCTGTGTTACCCTGATGCAACCCCAGATTGTGGTGGGCAGTGTGTGCAGAGGAAGGAAGTGGAAGGGGGCCAAACCCAGCACACCCCTGTAGAAGGACTGGCAGTGCAGTGGCTCCCCTCTCTAATCCCAAGCTCTCTCCATTGCTGGGCCTTGGACCCGAGGGAGGCTGCGATGGTGACCTAGAGGTGATGGGAGGGGTGCCCTAGGATCTCACCCAGAGGATGGCTGGGTGAGAAGGCCCGTTGCCTACCTGATCTCAGCTGGTTTTGTGTCTGCCCTGAGTAGAACAGAGATTTCGTTCTGCCAGCAGGAAGGGCCCTGGTCTGTCTCCCCAGGAGGGGTCGCAAGGCCAGCATCATACCCAATGACCTGGGTTAAGTCCGGGAAGTTCCCTGGCTCTAGAGAGACTAGGTCTGCACAAGGTCACCTAGTAACATGACATCCTACCCTTCCGGATCCCAGGAACAAGAGCTAAGAGCCTTTGGGATGCCTGTGACTAGGATGAGGCCAGCCACAGGGCACCCAGAATTCCTGGCTCCCATTCAGTCCTACACCCTGATCCCTGACCAGCTGGACTCTGCTGTCCTCTGACCTTCAACCTGGGGGACCCCTAAGGGGCCAGCAAACCCCCAGGACCTTCAGCCAGGCTGGGTGGACCAGGTACAGGACTACACCCTTCTTTCCCCTGAGCCCTGGTGGCAGTCAGTCACCTCCACTAAGGCAGCTTCTTTCTTTCTTTATTTAAATAATTATTTAATTTATTTATTCATTCCTTTATTTTTTTAATTTGACCAGAGACAGACACAGAGAGAGAGAGAGAGAGAGAGGGAAGGTGAGAAAGCAAGCCACCAGGTCCGGGACTTGAACCATGGTTGGCCATGTGGGAGTATCCAGCACCTTAACACCACACCACCTGCTGGTCCGTCGGCAGCTTCTTTCTTACATATTCACTGGTTTGTCTGTTCCGATCAAAGTGCCATAAAGACCCACCCCATGCTAGTTTTGCACCAGTGACTCAGGAACACCAGGGAGAGGCCATGGGCCCTAAAACTCACAGTAGTGCTTGAGAGGCAGAGGAGTCCAGGTAGTAGTAACACCCCCTTCAGGCCCAGCAACTGGAGGGACCCTCCAGGAAGGGCACACTGTGAAGGGGAAGACCTTGAGCCCTGCCCTGAGAGCCAGAGGCATTTGGTGAGAGGAGTGGTGCAGACAGGGCAGTGGGAGGGCAAGAGCAGAGACACAGGGTGGGGTGCATGGGAGTGTCCTGCAGACATCCTGGGCCCTGGAGAATGACTGCAGGCCCAAGTTGGAGGACAGCTGAGCCCCGTGGGGAGTGGCTGGGACGATCTCGTGTGGGACACTGAGATGTTGCACACATACCAGCCTGCCATGTACTCAGTCACCTCTCCGGCATCTGTGTGCAAGGGTTGTCTCAGGCTCTGACTTCAGTCCAGGCAGTTCCAACTTGCCCAGCTCTTCACAAATGTCAGATTTCCTTATTTCATTCATTTATTCACACTTTCATTCCACATACCATATACCAAGTCCCAGGCTGTCTGGGGGAGTGTCCTGTCCCCAGATCACTCAGGCTGCTGGGGAGGCAGAGACCAGCTGTAATAACGGTGCCATGCTAAGTTAAATGGAGACACCTCCGCTGTGCACCAGCAATAATAATCCTCTCCAAAACGGACTGGCCAAGAAGAAAGGGCTTCAAACCGGCAATCAGGTGGCGCTGACTCGAGGGACAAGGCAGGCGGGGAAGCTCCTCTCTCTGGGCCGTCGGAGCGGCAGTGCCTGCCGCGGCCCTCTGGGGGCGCTGCGGGGGCCCCAGGGCGAGCCACGCTCCGGCCGGCCGCGGCACTCACTGGATCTGCACTCACTTTCGGGACTTTTTCTCTCGCCGGCCGCGTCCCGGCCGCTCCGCGCGCACCAGGAGTTTCCTTGTGTGCCCGCTGCCCCGCTCCGGCCAAAGGCGACATGGGCGTCCCCCAGGGCTCGGAGGTCGGCGGCCGGCACTGGGGGCCCGTGCTCCTCGCTCTCTTCCTGGCTGCGTCCCGAGGTAAGGTCGGCGGGAGGCCGTGCACTGAGAAAGGGTACCGGGACAGGACAGCGCCCGAAGGGTGCTGCAGGCGGGCTGGAGGCATTCTGGAAGTTCCCTCGGCTTCCGTGATCCCCACCCTAGCGCTCGGAGGCTGCTGGGACCGCTGGGCAAGTACGGCAGAGCTCTGGGGCACCTCTAGACGCTGACAGCTGCCTGAGCAGCGGCAAAGCTGCCCCGGGAGAACAGTCTGTCCCTTCCCTGCCCAGACAGCGGGGAGCACGAGCAGCTTCTGCGGAGCAGGAGAGTCAGGGTGGGCAGCCCCCACCATTCCAGTGGATGCCACCGGCTTTTGACAACTGTGGCATCTCTGTGCCCCCTGGCCTCAGGGCTCCAGAATCTCCCAGGGTGCCGGGGGTGTGGTACTCTCTGCCAACGCCCCATGTCCTGGTGACAGTCCTGGCTATGCCTTGTTGAGCACTGGTCCACTCCCAGACATGGTCAGCACTGCCCAGCTGGTCCCTGCTGTGATAACGGAGAGAGTATTCCTGCATCCCAGCAAGGCTGCTGTTCAGGGCCCACTGTCAGTTCAGGGGGACTGCCTCCCGACTCTATCAGGAGCTTTTTTCGGGGTTTTTGGGTAACTTATGCCATCTCTTTGACCTCTGTTTCCTCAGCTTAAACATAGAAGCCCCACTGTCACAATTTCAGATGGTATCCTGGCCAGGACACCGGGGCTCATGAGTGGGGGCAAAGGCTCTGGCACCCACTGCCTGGTACCTGATTCTTGCCAGGCCAGAGCTGAAGGGGCAGGATCTCAAGGGAAGAGGGGGCTGGCAAGCAGCCTATGGAACCAAACTTTATGAGGAGGAGCCAGGGAAAGTGTGAGTCATGGAGGGAGTCAGAGGGAGCGAGGTGGGGGGCTTGGCAGAGGGACCCAATGGGTGTTTTGGAAGAAGAGAGGGAGAAGATGGGGTAAGAGGGAAAGGAGACTGAGAGAACCCATAAGACACCTCAGAAAGAGATTGGTGTGGCTGGAGGCAGTATGTTGGCCCTGCACCTCCTTATCAGAGGCCCAGGAGGTTGCCCTGGGCCTCGGATAAGGAGGAGAGGACCTGCACCCCAGACAGAGCTGCCCAAGCTGGATGCTCCCCAAGATGACAGCCAAAGTGAGAGGTGAGGGGGACAGTCCCACACCCAGGCCACAGCTCACTTCGGGGAATAACTTCCAGAGGGTGCATGTGCGGTGGGGTGGCAGCAAACAAGAAGACCAGCACCCCCTGCTGGGGACCACCCATCCCACTCCTTTCTCCCCAAGTGACCTGTGAGGCCCTTCCTGTTTCTCACCCCTTCCCTGCACTCCCTTGCCTGGGCTGTTCTCTGCTCAGTAGCCCCATTTGGGAAGCTGAGTTCTGGAGAACTAGAGGTCGAGTTTGCAAGGCATCCAGTAGGAGCTCCAAACCCCTCACCCTGCATTGCCCACACAGCTGGGAGTCTTTACCTTAGAGGTCCTGGCTACCGCAACAGTTGTGTGCCAAAGAGCCCTCTTGTCCTGGGCCCAGCAGGGAGATAATTAATGCTCAACATGGCTTTCCACCAAAAGGAGTCAGGAGAATTGTAGCTTGGAACTGCTTTGGGACTCTGTATTCTTAACTGCAGTACAGACACACTAATGGGTGTTCCTCCATCCAGCGCAGTATGCAGGCAGCAGGGGGAGTAACAGGTGGGAGGCCTGCCGGGAGGCATGGGCAGGACGATCTGTGCTTTTAAAACAGTCACCATCCTATTGAGGGCCTGCGCTGCCCTAGGCAGGATTGCTCTATGCCTGGGAAGGCAGTGGTGGGTATGATGCTCGGGAGCACGGGAAACATAAAAGATACCCATTTCCCGGGCTCCTTCAGGGTGAGATGGCTGGAGGGGGAACCTAGAAAGCCAGGACCCAGCAGACCCCAAGGGGTGGTGGAACCTCTTCTTTCCCATAGACATTCCCAGGACCTGCAGAAATTATCGTCCTTGCCCTGTCCTCACAGGCTGACTCAGAAGTCCCAAATTCTGAGACTAGCACATTCGAGCTCATGGGGGTGCAGTAGTTTACCATGCTCCTCTGCAGGGTACATGCGTGTGTGCTCGTCTGGAGGGTAAACTAGGCTGCAGGATTTGTTGAGCAACCCAGTGCTGCAAGCCTCTGACGCAGCGATGGTCAGTTCTTAGGAAATCCATGACCACTGACTTTGACAACTATGGCATCTCAGAGATCCTGGAGTGGAGAGAAACAGCCTTGAGGCCAGTCCATGGGCTGAGGGGAGCATGTACCCAGTGCCAGGGAGGTCAGGGGCCAGAAGTACTGAGGAGTCCCTCACTGAGCTGAACTGATTGCTCTGGTTCTCTCTAACACAGGACAAAGATTCCCTGCTAGGGCCTGAACTCCTGGGGAAAGGGTAGCCCAGGCTGGGGTACACTACCAAGAAGCTAACAGGCCACTTCTCTATATGTACACAGTGCATGAGGTCTTAGGCCTGAGTAGAAGAAGGAATGGAAAGGGTCCTCAGGTCTACCTGACCTACTGGTAGTGACTGAGCCCCACACTCTGAGCTTGAGGCTCCAGGCTTAAGGGCAACCAACGGTCCAGGGGCAGTCTAACCTCACTGGAGGAGGGTATGACAGATTGGCACCATGGGTTTGGTGGCCTCATAGATCCCCTTGGCATCAGTACGGGCATGTCCAAAGCTTGTGATGGCTTTCCTGTGTGGGAATGGTCATGCATGGGACCTGGACTGTATGCCTGGCACACCAGTGCTTCTGTATAGCCCCTTACTTAACAGCTTGGCTTTGGGAGTCAGTCAGACCTAGATTCAAACCCCTACATGGCCATTTACTGCTCTGTGGCATTGGACAAGTTCCCTGGCTCTAAAGTGGGGGTGAAGATGGCACCTTGGTCAGAGGGCTGCTATGAGGAGCTGATGAAGGAACATTCAACACAGTACCCAGCCCTTGTGAACGCTGTCCAGTATGTGTTATTTATTGGCTTTGGAAGGCTCATGCCACTGGCTTTCCATCTGAGTCCTTGCTGCCTACAGTGCCCTGTGGAGTGCCCAGGGCATGGGAAGGTGCTGGCTGGTTTTACTAGGACTGGGCTCTCTAGACTCCTGGAGTCTGAAGGACACACAGGCTGGGCTCTGACACCTGTAGGTGCTTATAGGCACGTTTGGTCAGAAATATGGATGGAGGTACCTGTAGATTCTCCTCTTAAAGTTGTCTGGAGAGGCCAGATAGGGCACAGCAGCAGAATGTGACGCTGGGAGACAGACCCAGGTGGGAAGAGTCTAGGTTCGTGCCTAGAGACCTCCTTGAGTACACCGGGCATATTCATGGCCATGATCCAGGGCTGACTCAGCCTGGAGGTACTTGCTCTTTATAGGTCAAGACCCTGTTGGGAATGCTGTCTCTCTATCTCTTTCTGCCTCTCTTATATGTGGAAGAAATAAATACACTTAACAAAAAAAGTTGTGTAGAGATGGAAACATTGCAACTTCAAGCAAGGCAAGCTTGGCCCGGGGTTTGCTTATCTCAGTGGGCCCTCTCTTGTATGTGATCTTAAAATTCAGCCTCTTCATGGTGACTGGCCATCCCCCAAGAGCAAGACAATGGGAGGCCACCCCTTTCCCATCAGCAGTTAAATAATGAAGGTGCTTGGCCAGTAGACTGGCTCTTTAACCTTTCTACATAGGATCTCATTTCCTACGCAGCACTGCAAGTACTGCCCCCGTTGTTCACTCACTGTGGGAGCACGGCACAGACTTCCCCTTTATCTGTACAATAGGCAGGTTGAGTGACAGTCTCAGCAAGGCTGACCACTCTCCTCTGAAGGGTAATTCCATCATGGTGTTTCCTGAGCTTGTCATCTGCTCGTCATCTTTGTGATTTTTCAGTGTCTGCCTACCATCATATTTACTTGTTTTTCTCTTTACATAGACTCATTCTTTTGATTGAGTTGGTAGATTTTAAAAGGAAACTTTATATCACTGCCATAAGTGGAAAGCCAGTATCACTTACCATAAATAGAACAAAATCATAAAAGTGCGTAATAGGAAAACCAAATAAGGGCATTAAAATTCTATTGGAAACTTTAGCGTGGAGACTCTGAGTCTGAAAACTGCTGCTCTTCCTTGCAAAACACACAAAAAAATAAAATAAAATGATATTTATAAAAAAAGAAAAGGAGATTAGCGATAAATGTTTTGAAGTCTTATTGGCATCAAACTGGTACTTTCTCTTTGATGTAATCAAGACTGAAAGAAAACTGAAAAGGGAATAACTTTCTCTATATATGATTCAATGTTATCTAATGTCAGAAAACCAAAAGTAAAACTACCTTCATTATAGAAACTGCCAGGCTAGCTGGGCCATCATTGGTCAGGCCTTCTGTCCATCTGCAGGAAGGAGGTAGGGCCTCCAGCCGGTCCCTGTTCTCTAGTCTCTATAGTGTAGTCAGATGGCACTGGACTTTCAGAAACTGAGGACAGGGGTTCAAATCTCAGCACCACCACTTACTAGTTCTGAGACTCTGGGCAAGCTACATAACCTCTGTGCTTGTTTCCTCATGGGTAGAATACAGATGTAATAGTACTTATACCATGGGGTGAGAGGAAGAAATAAGCGAGTCCATGTGAAAGTGCTTAGAATGATGCCCAGCACAAAGTATTAGTCAAGCTACGCACTACCACTGAGCCTCCTGCACTGATGGTAGGAGACAGAAGACCTGAATCGGAATCTTAGGAAGTTTTCATGGCAGAGGATCGTAGATAGTTGGTTGGTGGTATAGACTGTAGAAGTCCTCCTCAGGGAGGCTTGGGACATCTGGAAAGGAATCATCTAGAGACACAGTCACTGGCAGGGCCTCCGGCCAGCTGCCCAGGCCTTCCCTCGGGAGGCGCGCTAGTGGAGAGCCTCCAGCCCCGGACGCACGGACGTGTTCTCAAGGTGCTGGAAGTGCTGCTTCCTCCGATAGAGCCTGGCTTCCC